AGCCGGATCTTGAGCTGGCGGTCGGCCCGTCGCCTGTCGTACATCGAAGCACTGTTCCGGCGGTAGCACTTCCACGCTCGGCAGCTGCGGCTCGTGATCTCCCGGTCGGCCTTCCCGTCCGCGGAGATGGTACGTCCGAGGTACACAAACCGATCTGTCTGCTTGTACGTCTGGCCGGCGGCGCTGACCGTGAACGGGTGTTCCTCGATCCCTTTTGGCAGCATGCACATGATCTCTGTCTTTGGCTCCGACACCATCAGTCCGAACAGGCCGGCCACGCGCACGATGACCGACATCATCTTCTCGAGACTCTCCGGCGAGCGCGAGACGATGGCCGCGTCGTCAGCGTAGAGCATGGCCCACAAGGCCTCCGCGTCCGTCACCACCGTCGTCTTCCTCCCCGCCGACCTGCTCTTCTTGCCCGTGTACTCCACTTGCGTATGTGCCAGACGATGCAAAAACCACCAGCTACCGCGTACATGCATATATATATATCGAGCTCAACCACAATTATACGTAGTGTAGTACCGTATCTGCGTCACACCGCAGGCAAGTCGTTCAAACACCACAAACAAAAAAAATACACCACACTACGGCAAATACTCAAAACCAATATTGAAAGACTCCAGACACGAAAAAAAGGTTCTTTCTTTCGTTGATGGATCGATCGATAGAAGGGAGATAATACAAGACGATGTAACAAGAAAAGGAGAAGACGTGGAGCATCGGACCCGCCACATACAGTGCCAAAAGTCTGTGATCGCCCCCGTTCAGCTATGCGTACGGTAAGTAAGAAATGATGTGGCCCCGCACGGTACCAGGAATCTTTTATCGCGCCGGTAATTGTTTGGGTGGTAGCCAAAAGCCACGGGATTTCGACATTTTGCATGGTATTTGGTTGGGTGGGAACAACGGGTTTCGTCCTTGGTTACGGTTTGGATGGGAATTGTCGTTGTTGTTGCTGTTGTTGTTGTCTTCACATTAAAAACCGTTCCGATCTTTCTCTATCCAGTACCTTCGCATGTCCGTACTGATACAACACTCGACGCGGTCGATTCCCCCCGTGGTCGCAGGCTAACTTACCCTGCAAAGGTACACTCAAATAAAATGGCCCCGAGGGGTCCGCAAGTCAATGGGATTCAACGACAGATATTCTGGAGTCCTCCACTCCCTCTGCGCGCTATGCGAGGTAACAACTGAGACTAGGGGTCACCATCACGGGCCGGAGAGAATGAGGTACACCCCCTTGGTTCAATCTTGGTACTTCACAACGCAAGCAGAGACAAGTCCATCTGGCACAGAAAAAGAGAGAGAAAGAGAGAAAGAGAAAAAGAGAAGTAAAAGGAAACATCAAGGAAAGAGAAAATGAAATGAAAAAGAGCGAGGACAAAAAGCGACCAAAAATAAGAGACAGAAAAAGGCACACGGTGCAGAGGCCACTAACGACAAGCAGACACGCAAACATGGCCACCAACCAGCGATACATTGTAATGGTACGTCATCACTAGTGGGGGGTTGGTGCAATGGTGCAGCGTTGGGGGGGGGGGATTGGGCTAAAAGAATCCGGTACGTATCGCGCCACTACTCGGTCCGTCTCTTCTCGTTTGCTTACTTCGCTCACCGTCTCGTCCTCTCCTGCCCCCCTCCCGCCCCATTGGGAATGGGAGAAGGCCATTTGCCCGGTAACGATTTGGATGGGTACGGTAACCGGGAATTATCACGGTAACGTTACCAATTACCATTCCCGTGGAAATCCCGCGGGAAAATCCCGCGGGAAAATTCCCGAGAGGAGCCTTGCAATTTTTCATTCTTTTAAGCTCGATTCCTCCACATTCCACACAGCAGTAGTAGTAGCAGAGTACCATGCATTACATATTTATTTATTTATTTTTGCCTTCCGACAATTGCAGATGTACCTCAGAAAACTTTCACTTAATGTCTCATACTCTTACATGAATATTAAACCAATACGAAGTACAACAACATATGTAGGACTTATTTCTACTGTCATTTACATCGTAAAAGTATCTCCTCTTCAACTTACCAATGACAATCCTGATGGTATCCTATATGCGTTCGTAAGCTTGCTAAAATACTACTGCGTTGATGTCCGCTTGTAAAAGCTGAAATCCAACAAATGCTTTGATCCATGCTACATCTCCGTGTTGGAAAAGCCCTTTCATCTCCGTTCATGATAACATCTTACCCTATTCTACGCAAATCTGTCACATCTCCTCTCAAACAAGACGCCAACTTCAAACGAAAACGCGTTCTACGATGCGTCTACACTCCATCCCCATATCATTGGCGTTGACTGGTCCGAGGTCGATCTTGTTCGCCTGTTTTCGGCGTCTTGACGCCCGCGCAATGCGAGCTTGTACCTCTGCACTCGCCGAGATATGGCCACCTGTGTAGCCACCGAAACGATCTGAAGAAGTCGTTCCTTGAAGACTCCTTTCAGAGCCATCGTTCCTCCGTCCCTTCCTCCCACGGCATGTGTCGCAAGTTCATCGATGAACTCGTAACCCTCCTCTCCAAGGCGGCCAAAGCTTTCCACGGCTAAGGTGGTAAGTTTAAAGCTGCGTTCGTCAAAGGACACGTGTCCCGGACGAGCGTAGTGCTGACGCTTTCGCGCCTCGGATGCTTGGGCTGCGATTCCATCGCTGGTCGCGCTGCCGTTCCGCAAGTGTACCTGTGCTTGCATTACATTGTAGAAAAAATGAAAAAGAAGGCGTTGGAACCGCCTCGTCGAGATCTCTTGGGAATAAATATCATTTGTATTTGCATCCATCCACTTCGTTGTGGCGTACTGTACCTGCTCACCGACGGTATTCTCTCTCTCTCTCTCTGTCTCTGTCTCTGTCTCTGTCTCTGTCTCTCTCTCTCTCTCTCTCTCTCTCTCTCTCTCTCTCTCTCTCGCTCTCGTAGTACAAATGTTTGAACGCGAAGCTAGTTCTCTCTCCACCTGCTCCACATGCAAACCTTCCTTGTCGCCCTCAAATACCCCCCGCTGAGCAGACCAAATAAACAAACAAACGGACGAACAGCGCTGTGAAGAAAATGCCCGTCCAATTTCGATGAAATGAGTGTTTTTTCGTCATGTCCCACTCACCGTCTCCCGTCCTACCGTAACGCATCGTTGGTGCAAATCGAATTAATTTGCTTAGTTGTTCTTTCTTGCCTTGTTGTGTGTACCCACGTCCGTCATACCAAGCGGTTGGAACGAAAACTTTGTATCTCTACCAACTGCAGTAAATAATCAACGTACGTACGTGATTTGAGTAGTAATCTTCTCGCGACCGATTCGAGGAGGTCCGGATGACGGAATTATGTGCATGCGCATTGTAATCCAAGCCTCAAGGTTTCACCACTTCACGCTTTATCTAACCCGCTGCTGTGCAGGAGGCGTTATCGCCATAAAACAACACAGAAAAAGCCTCCTTGAAAAAATGTCGGAATCGAGCTGCAGTGATGAAGTACCGCCGGAACACTTAAAATAACAAGACTCGTTCACGAACGTGTAGCTGACGATCATGATACAAGCTGAAATCGTGAGCAAATCCATCATCATGGGAACGCCTAGACCAAGCATGACGAATGGCGAGGGTCCACCAATATCGGTCTACTATATGCTCTACAGTTTTAAACATGCGTAAGTGGCACCAGGTAACCCCGACCTCGCACGTACAAGCTCGAGACACATGCAGGCCAGTTCTAGAGCAACGTGGAGTAAGCACATGGTACGAAATCGACAAATGATTCATCCGACGCGTTGGTTACCGATACCGGGAATATCACTCAGTAAATTTCCGCCATGATGAGCACAACGAGTGCCGTCCAACCGGTGAAAGGGTGTGATCTCAACCCTCGCCCGCTACGGTCATCGTACTGCTCCCATAAGTAGCCGGTGGACTGGTAACCCCCGAGAAGAGTGCGCAACAAATTCGTCCGAAGCTCCGTGTAGATCCTGCCCGCATCTTTCCTGTGTTCCATGAGATGCACAAAATCGGGTTGTTGCATAACTCTTGAGAAAGAGCGGTTGGTTGGCAAGGGTGCGAGAAAACCCAACCTTGCACAGGCGAGCGACACTAGAACGTTCGGGGTACGTACGTGGTGATGTTTTCTTGTGATGTATTTAGGAAAGTGATTTGTGCCGGTTTCTTCGACGCCGACCGTCGAAGAGACCACGGGCGCTACACGAATCAAACACCCCAACGAACCGTGTCGGATCAAGAAGAGCAAGCGGCACCAACTGATCCCGCAATTTCCGGTGATGCAAGTAGAATGGCAGGTCGGGTGACCGACGAAAATCTCCTCCCACACCTCCTCCTTCGTCCATTCCGGAAAGAACACGCACGGTGGTAAACCTCGCCAGAGCTACCGGTGAGGCATCACACGAATTGGTTACGACTTGACCGCTGATTTCATGATGCTACTTAATGTGTCACACCTGAAAGATCACCCTTGGCTACACGGCATAGCCGGTCAGTCGCTCGACAATACCATGGCAATCATATACACCTCTGCAACATTGCAACTGCTCCTGGCCAATTTAGTCGAGAGGTCACCACTGGCGGTCTGGTCAAAGCGATCGTGTCTTATCCGCTCACTCGCCTGAAAGGGCCCTCGGCTTGGCTGTAGTGCGACAGAGCAGCCAGGGCGAGGTAGTTAACGTTGACCCAGATGTGCCCTCTCCAGTACGGCTCGTCGCCAGGGTTGTTTTCCACCTGGTAAAATTGATCTGACGCCGACAGCGACCGAAGCCCATGTGGGCTCCATAGCTGTGTCGAGTCCCTGTGGGGTCAGTTCGGTTTGTTCCACAGCATCAGTTGGTGGCTCACCGGCGAATGGCTTCGGGCCGAGCAAGGATTCTTTGCGTGTGATGAATGTTAGGAATAGTCCAGGTGTAGAGAGTGGACGCCGCTCTGTTGTGGTGCATGTCGACTTTTCGCTGCAAAACTCTACACGTTTCGCCCCGCACGACTTGAAATACACCCACCAAGCCACCAAGCCACCAAGGAGAGACTGGCAGAAACACTACGCATACTAAGCTGACAAGCGAAAAAGCTGCGGGTTGCGGTCGACTATGATAGGGGCACTCACGCCATGCTTACCTCATCTGCGCCAAGAGGCTCCCAACTGCTGGGCTCTCCGGGGGCAGAAGCTTGAGCAGCAAAGGAAACATGCTTACGTAGCCTGTTCCAGAGCCGTGCAGGCGAGCGGGATAGGGAAGAGTCAGCAACACATGGGTCGACGCTTTACACCACCGTAGGCGAAGGGCACAGGTAGGCAGGGTGTACTGTTACGAACGTTCCCCTTCAGAATGCTACAATACCTACTCATCTACCGTACGCGTTGGGTCCGCCCTGGTTATTCAGTTCTAGACCTTTCTTGGTGTGATCGAGAAGCACACCCCACTACAGAACAAGATTATCCTCACCGATGTGCTGCACGTGCTGAGGCTGTGGGGGACTCCCCGACCACCTCCGTCGCGTCAGCAGCCCGCCTCGTCCGTCTCCCAAGGGATACATGTGCTGCTGGCCTGGCGCGCAGACTGCCTTTCGAGCCTGGACGTCCTCCAATGGTACACCAATGTCTTCGGTGCTTCCGTCCGCTGAAAAGGTGTGACGGCAATCGGACGAGGAGGGGGGGGGTTGTAATCATAGTCGTGCATGCCGTAGTCGTTAGACCATTGACCTCGCATCCCTACAAAGCCGGGACGGAGCACGCCGGGTTCTCACCGGACCAGGCTCTCACATCACCAAGCGCGAAGCGCCGTGAGATATTCGGCGAGTCGCATGAAGGGTGCGCTGCATCCTGCGAAGGGTGTTCGGCATCTTGTGCTTACTACCTTGCGTATGGATGACAGCTGCGTATGACTTAATTTACTTTCTGGTGCTTTCACAGAGACGGTTGTAAGCACTGTATAACTGCCTCGAGGGTGCTTGACCATTTCAACACAACGTGGTGCGATCATCCCTCTTGTGCGGAGTGAGGATTGTCCACCCCGCACAACATGATCTACTCGACCACCATTATGGTTACCGCCAAAAAAAAAACAGAGGTAAAAAAAAAAACGGTAACCTGGTTGCCGAGTTCACGAAGTGAATTGGCTTGTTTTACAACGTCGTTGCCAAGCGACGAAAACCCAACCCCGATGGCAAACACCGGGGGGGGCGGCTTGTTTTACAACGTCGTTGCCAAGCGACGAAAACCCAACCCCGATGGCAAACACCGGGGGGGGCGGCTTGTTTTACAACGTCGTTGCCAAGCGACGAAAACCCAACCCCGATGGCAAACACCGGGGGGGGCGGCTTGTTTTACAACGTCGTTGCCAAGCGACGAAAACCCAACCCCGATGGCAAACACCGGGGGGGGCGGCTTGTTTTACAACGTCGTTGCCAAGCGACGAAAACCCAACCCCGATGGCAAACACCGGGGGGGGCGGCTTGTTTTACAACGTCGTTGCCAAGCGACGAAAACCCAACCCCGATGGCAAACACCGGGGGGGGCGGCTTGTTTTACAACGTCGTTGCCAAGCGACGAAAACCCAACCCCGATGGCAAACACCGGAAGAGGGGGAGGAAAGAGGAAAAAAAAAAAAAAACGGTAACCTGGTTGCCGAGTTCACGAAGTGAATTGGCTTGTTTTACAACGTCNAACCTGACCAACCGTAAGGAGGAGAGGATTGCCGTCGCCGTGAACGCTGCGTCAGGAGGCGGCGGGGGCCTCATGGGCACCGGGGGGGGGGGGGGGGGGGGGGGCGGGTACACTACTTCAGGGAGGAATGCCGAAACACCTTGAGGCACCACAACCCCGCTAGAAAAAGCGACTAGGTGGGCTATCATGATCCATTATTCCCCAAGAAAGGCCACCTAGGGATCAGGTACAGTCCTTCGCGGCAAGCATAACTGCAGCAGCAGCTGTCCCCTGCAAGGGAAGTGCCCCAACAACAAACTAGTCCCTAGCGAAGCGAGCTTGTCGGTGACAAACTGCAACTCCCTGTTGGTCCGGCGGTCACGCACCGTTCTTGCAGCGCATGACGACTTCATCCACTAGCCGGCCGTCGGAAACGTGCAGCCCCCGGTCGAAGAAGGCTTCCTCCTCCTGCTCCCAATGAAATTCGAACAGTCCCTCCATCAACTCATTGAACAGGTGGCCGTATGGAACGCTACCCTTCACACCTATCGCGGTCGACAATCTGTCGGACCAAGCATCCCGAGGAGAAAGCGGAATATGTCGGTCATCGGCATGGTTGCAACTATCAGAGAGCAGGTTTTATCTCGCGTCCTCTTGCCATGTCAAAACGTGATCAAGCGAAACACCTTTCTATCGATGTTGCTCGAAACAGCAAGCCGAAAGACCATGAGGTTTCGTCTCTTGAGTGTGTCTTTTGCGGCGTCATCTCGGTAGTAAACTTAATGGCCATCGGATTACGGTGACCTCCAAAGCCCGGACGCAAACAAGGTTATGGATGTCGATGCCCAATCGACTGCCACATCAACCTGAAAGCTTGCCGTCGCAGCAACAAACCGCGCATAAAAATATATATTTGCCATCGACACAACAGTAAGGCTGCCGCCGGGATCCTCACACCACCACCAAAAGAAACTCACACCACCACCAAAAGAAACTCACACCACCACCAAAAGAAACTCACACCACCACCAAAAGAAACTCACACCACCACCAAAAGAAACTCACGTGTTGCTTTCTGTTGACCTCAAATAACCTGACCAAACAATCCACCCACCTTTGCATTGATCGGCAGCTCAGAGCTAGCCAAGAGACGACGTCCACGTGCCACTCGTCGTTTTGAGAGGGGTGGGAAGCCCGGGGATAGTCGTCGAGTCCTGACGCCAGTGTGAGCGCGTTCAGCCGATCGTCGCCTGGGTCACGTCCTCTCCACTGCCGTTGCATCAGCGCCGAGCAAGCAAGGCAGGTGATCAACTCTACTGCTTCGAAAACTGTAAAAAAAAGACGCTCTCTCGTACCTACGCGAGAGGTATGTTTCCCACTAGAGCGCAGTTCACAAATAGAGAAGATTTGTCTCATCTTGACAACCTGCATGGCTCTGCGGTCTAAGGGGCGTAAGGATTACTTGAGCGGGGTTCGTAGTGGATATCGGCATTGTTGGCAAACGCTGCAAGCATACGATGCAGCACCGGCATGACTGCGAGCTGATACTCGACAATGGGCGAGAACTAATGAGCAAGAGGATACAAGCGGATACAGCCCAAGAGGCGCCCTATGTCTCATCTACACACACACTTCCATCAAGAATCAAGAATCAGAAGGGTCTCTAGTATAAAATTGCACGACACTGCCACGTGCGAGCGATCACCTGAAACGCCCCCAGCGGTGCCCTTTTCGCCTGTCCTCCCCACCCCGTAGCCCCCGGTCGCTGAGTAATAAGCAGCCACCGGATCCACAGGTCTAAAACAGGGTAGGCTTTCCGGAGGAACTCTCCTAGCTCCAGCTCTTGCGCCTGCTTGTCTCCTACCCTAGAGCATCCTTGAGACGACGCTCCCGCCGCATCTGCATCCGCCTCTGCTGTGTAGGTCTCCGTAGCAGGGATGCTGTCCTCGTCGCTTGAACGCTCAGCAAGATCACTTAGTAATCTTTCCACCACCAGCAGGAGCGTTGGCGGGTTGGCTACGGAGACATCCTGCAGTAAAACGGATATTGCATGGCCCGTGCCGGGATAAACAATACACGAAGGTTGACTTTTCTACGAAAAGCATGGGGGAAAATGCGCAAGGGTGCATGCAACGGCCACGTTCGAAGAAGCTACACAAGGGTTGTAACTTATGGACCAACAACAGGAACGGCTGTGGCTAGATCAGCCGGTTCGAGCTATTTAGAAAGGAAAACGTGGAGTGATTCCAAGCACCCGATGCGTCGAAGCGGGCTGGCTGACTCTGCAATAACGGGAAACCTTAACACCTTTTTACCGTCCACACTAGCTCCCCTCACTCACTTGCGCCATGAAAGCCTCCGGCACCCTTCTCCTAGCCTCCTCCCCAAGGATTTGCTCTCGAGGTAGCCAACCGCCAGAACATCCCATTCCTGCGACCTCTCCTGCCGTATCGTGGACGTGCATGACCGACAGCCAGTGGCCGAGGACGTCCACTGAGGTCGTCCTGTCCCATGCAGAGACCAACAACTGGCGAAAAACACGCATCGACACAAGCCGGCGGCAGCAAGTGGATGCAAGCTTGGAGAGGAAAGTCTAGCCGGTCGCTATCGTGCAAGATGGTAAATAGTGAGAACAAGGAGGCTATCGTAGAACAGATAGTCCCAAGACATTCCGTTGCTATGTTAGTGACGATTATGTTGTAAGTTGGCCAACACCCGACGGAGCTAGTGGAGATGTTCCTTGACGTGAACCCTCGCAGTCACTTCTTGACAAACAGAATCACTTTGCAAATTGCTGCAAATCGACCGACGAATAATAAGTTAGAGCCAGCTCAACCTGAGTTGCTACATTGGGCGGGATGAGGCCGAAAGCAACTTTCCCGCTTTCATGACGCACTTGTAATGAACATAGGCCGAGCCGGCCGGTTCCACACTCCTCGGGTATGCACTCACTCACCTGGTGAAAGCCTTCATCCCACAAAAATCCCCTCGGGAAAAAACTTCGCGACGGCACGGCCGTGAACAGGCTCGTTTCAAACGAGACTTCATTGCCGCCGTCTCGCCCGGCCCCTCGCACCTCCGACCTCCCGGTGAAGTACCCCATACCCCCAAGCATGTTCGACAAGGCCGCTTTCGCCGCCGCCACATCTCGCTCTTCGAAACCTTTGTCCTCCAACGAGAACCGTTCCCGAAACTGTTCGGAGAATGAACGCGAACCGGCCTCCAGCCAGCCCGAGACCGTTCCCGGGGCCACGAACGGCCGGACGGTTGTTCCATCGCCGCTGCTGGCGGTGGGAGGCTTCACGCCTCCGCCGGGGGTGCTAGCCCGAACGACGAAGTCTACCGTGAAAGGAGCCTCTCCAACAACCTTCATTGTATTTGCCAGAATTTCAGGGGGGAAGAGTCAACGAGAAGATATGCCCCAGGCAGATGTCTTGGCGTCCACCAAGTGGAAACATTTGCGGCATATGTATTGAAGTCGGGTACAGATGGCAGGAAAGCTGCACCGGCCGCTGCACTCCGGCCGAGGGAAACATAGTACGTAGTAGTCCACAAGCGTCATCTACGACGTCTTGCACGCCTGCGATTAGAGTACATGAAACGCATGGATTCTGGAGCAGCCACGGCAAGCCTGTGGTGTACCTGTACGAGCACCACGTTGCTGCCGGCGTCCTCCTCGTTTGGCAGAACAAACGGTCCTCTGTCCGCCTTTTCGCCTTTACGAGTAGCTCTTCGGGTCGCACGGCGGTGTGCCTCGAGGCGCTGCTCCACCTCCTTCTTCACGTCCGCCATCGGAACACCCTTCTTGCCCAAGAAAGCAACCACACTTTCCATCTCCGAGGACGAACTGTCACTATCTCTGCTCGAGACAACCGCGGCCTCCAAATCGAAAGCGCCATGCTGTGGATGGGCTCCTCGAACCAGCAAGGATTGTTGTGAGCTGGACTCTGGATGGACCACTTCGAGGCCAGCTGTTCCACCTGCTAAACATGACTCCTCAGAATCGCTGTTGACGGTGGCATTGCAGTCCAGCCCAATGTAGAAATAGATGGTGGACGGTTGTGGCGATGCGCCCGATCCCGCAGGGAAAACCTCTACCCTAGACGCCAGGAGCACTGAAAACCGTAGGGTTGGAAGGAGCGGGCAGGGGAGGTAATCAATCCACAGAGGCAAGTCAGGGGAAACTTCGAGGTAAAAACAAAGGTGAAACTCTCTGTGCAATGATTGATTCCGCAAAACAAATCCAACCTTCACACAAAAACGTGGTATGCATACAATCCGGGTTTCCGGCTGTCCGATTGAAGGTGTGACGTTAGTCCCCTGGCTTACCGTCTGACGTGTCTCGGCCGGAATTGCTGTGGTCCTTGAGCTGTGCTGGTTTGACTATCGACGTGACGAGGCCAACACCAGCCTTCTTGTCCACAATGTCCTGTTTGCCGTAGCTCCTACCGTCGTGTTCCACCCACCCGTAAGGGCCCAACCCGTCTCCCTCACTGCACTCGTGGCGCAGGGACGGTAACCCGTTGTGGCCGTCTCCTCCATGCCACATCAGGCCGCCGGTCACCGACACCGGAGACGTTCGTGTCTTGAACCCTGCGTTGTTGGCGGTTGGGTAGAAAAGCACATGTTTTATCAACCGGGTGGTCAAAACAAAAACATGCGCAGCGTGTCGCTTCCACGTGCGGGAAGGTGTTCATCATCAGACTAGAATATTAGACCGTGAATTGCGATAAGGGTTGTAACCGAGACATCGCGTAGTGTGGCTGACCTGTCCAGTGTGGCTGACCCTTCCAACACCATGGCGGACGTTCGTATGTGCACACCACGCACAAGCAGGCCAACAACGGGCGCGGACCGTGTTTCTCGGGGAAGTATGGAACATACGCTGGGTGCGAGGCAATCTACCGGGCCCTCAACTGCCGACAATTGCTGTTGGGCAGTCGGTACTGGCGAAATGCACGGACGGCCGTACATACGTTGAGCACGCTTGCCTTCAAACCCAGCAAATCCAACATCCCACCATCTTTCTAGAGGCACGCCGCATTGTACTTCCGTGGCGTACCTTCTTACCGAAAAATACACCGGGGCGATAAGTACCCCAGAGCATGGATGCATTATGCTGTCCAAAGCTAGGGAGTTCCGAGAGCATATCATGACCCCCAGGGTTGAGCCACCTCTCCGGGTCGGCGCAAGTGGATTGTGCCTCTCCCCTGCTCGCGGCGGATGCGGCGCGATTCGCAGAATCCAGGAAGCTCCCCAAGACCGGATATCTATTGCCTTTCTGACCTGCTGCGAATAGCCAACAATTGAGTTGTGGATGTCGAACGAAAGCGCGCCATGAACCACCTTGAGTCCATCGCAAGATTCCGTAAGCATAGCTCTCAACTCTGAACTTGTGCAAGGATATCGTGCGCAGTGGAGGCGTTTTGGTCGTCACCTTGCACCGTCTCTTTCTTTCGTGGTATGGATACAACGCAGTACATAGGTCGCCCCGGTGGTCTAGTTGGGAAACTCGAAACCTTCTGGAGGTCAGGTCAGGGGTTCCAATCCCGGCGTAAGCGAGCTCTTCTCGCACCTCTCGCTTCCGCTCCTGGCCAACTGTAGTGGATAGCGCTAGTTAGTGTGTACACAGAGGGAAGAGAGTGCGAACTCTTTTCGCAATAAAAATCAAAGGCAAAGTACCACAGGAGGGGAGGGTAGAGAGGGGCCCTTCTGTGTGACCACGGGTTGGAGTACATGGCACTATTAGTGCTGCGAGCGCTGATTTGAATTGAAGAAAGAAAAAAAAAAAAACACCTCCGATCAGCTGCAATGCCAAAACTTTAGTTTTTCAAATTCGAGTGCAAGGCTGGCTTGGTCCAGTAAGTCTCGTGGGCGTAAGCACAAGCACTCCGTTGCACGTGTGTGGGAGGATCCAAGATCAGGACACTGCTGTTGCATGTGTTGACCGGGACTGCTGTGCTACTCTCTTGGCTTTTGTACCTAGTCGATGGCGCTCACATCAAGGCCATGGCTACTCAGCCCAAGCCACACAACCGGTTCACACAATAGGCCAACCTACTGGACAGCCTTCACTCAAACCCTCTCTATCACTCACCGCCGCTGCATAGCATGGACACCAGTGCTACCCCGATGCCGACTAGCATCATTTTCCCGCACAGCTGCACCCGCCGCTGTGTTGGACTTTTCGCCTGTCGTCCTGCGACGGCACTACTGATCTCCGCCGCATTAGTTCGGGTTTGTTGCTGTAACACGCCAGACATCGGGGATAGAGTATAGCAGGAGCCCCGGGCGCACCCGTCACACAGCACAGCAGCTGGACAGGCGACCTTTTACGGCACGACAAGCGCGAAGGCTGAAGGTGGCCAGCAAGGCAGAGAGCGGGGCGGAGAGGGAGACACGCGCATCGTACTATAAGCGTGTAGGGCGGGGGCCCGTGGTATGTTGGTCTCTCGCCGCTCCCTGCCTGCGAGGTCCACAGAACAGCAGGTGCAAGTGGGTGCTTTTAGCTTGCCTCACCATCTCGCGGGTCACCCAATCGCTGTGCGTGAACGATGTCGGTGCAGCTTCTCGGAAAGCGGGAGCTGAAGAGACTTTCTTCTGTGGCGAACAATGGCGCTGGCGCGGGGTAAGAGGTCATGAAGTTTTGAACAGCACAGCAGCAGTCTGCACCTTTTCCAAACCTTGGAAACCTTGTCCCCACGTTCCTCTTACAGCCGCGCAAGACAAAACTACTACGAAGTATGTCGTAGTCTGTTGCACTGCGCTGGCGCGTCATAGTAGAAGGATTGTCATTCCCTGCTACATAGTTTCAAATCAATATTGCCTCCGGATTTGACGTTGATGTCTGTTATTGTAGCAACTCTGTCCGCTGCTCGTCTCCAGTCATCGAGTTGTGCCGATCGGATCCGCCTATGCATTCCGCCCTTTGCTGCACTTGGCACATGGCCGGCACATGGCCGGTAGCACAAATCTTAGCTGGACACATCACACGCGATTACAGGCCTATATTATGCAGACAGTGCACATGTTGCGCGATACGAATGGCGGCTGTGATGCCTTGTGTGATGGTCCTCGGTATTACCCGGATACGTACATCCCAGAATTTGAATACAGCAACCACCTGTGATGCAAGTTGGTTGAGAATCAAGGACAAGTCCCTGTAAGCGCCCTTGTAATTACACTTCTACGTGTTAACCTATGATAACTGGTATATCCACTCACTGCTGTACAGGTACTCAGGTTTTGCCAAAGGGATGATGGCAAAAATGGGCTGGGCCGAGGGCCAGGGGCTGGGTAAGGAAGAGCAGGGCAGGTCAACGTACGTCCAGGTAAAGAAGAAGGACGACAACTCTGGCTTGGGCAAGGAAAAGGCGCAACAAAACAAAGTCAATGACCAGTGGTACTTCAACGCCTTTGACTCCGCTTTGGCGAACATGGGAGGCAAGAAGAAGAAGAAAAAGGACAAGAAGAAGAGAGACAAGACGGCTGAGTGAGTGCTTGCCCCTAACAGCTCGCCATGGTACGCATAGTACCCGTTACCCGTGTCACGAAGTTGGTGTGCTACAGCAACTCCTGCCACATGTTCGATGCCTTGCCGCGCCTGGAGAGGCTTCGCGTTTCGGTTGTGAGGCCCAATCGAGCTAATCTCCGTGCAAGGTGTCGCAAGGCGAATGACTTCTTGTGTAGCTCACGATTTGTGGCATGTGGCCACAACACGCAGCAAGCAACAGGATGCCTGTCTTGAATATCCTTCTCCAAGAGTATCGCTGTTTTGGTGTCTACATCTTGCTCGCTTTCCGTCCACTTAGTTTTCGTAGTCCTCCAACCTCGTGCTGGTGTTAGAGAGTCAATGCAACCACTCGCTGCTTCTACGCGCACGGGTCTGCTTTTCTTATCTCGCCTCAATCCTGTTCTTGTCGGCCGTAACGCCTGTGATCAAAAGTACACTGGGCGTCCGATGTACAAACCTGTACTAATGCTGTAGCTCCTACTATCGTTCTCCCGCTGCTTTACGCTGGCTTGCTCGTTATTTGTTAAATTATTTTCAACACGACACAGCGGTGAGGGCGTGCCGGAAGCGGCAGCAGAGGCCACGACCATGTACGATAAGATGTTCAAGGCAACGGGCGGGGCGCGAATGGGAATGCGAGCAAGGGCCTCCCAGAACGGCAAGCTCTCGCGCACCGAGGGCGGCCAAGATGGCATTGGTGGTGCGACGCCTTCGACCGCGCCCAACGGCTCTATCAACGGCGCAATAGGCGGGGAGGTGCAAGAGTCTTCAAGCCACAAGCGAAAACGTTCAACCGGTACGGAGGAGGTGGAGACAGATGAGTCGCCGAAGGTGGTTGTGAAGCGAGAGAAGACGACAACAACGGGCGAGGAGACAACAGTAGTAGCGGTCAAGGGGGATGGTGAGGCGAAAAAGGCTGAGACTGAAAGCAGCACGAAGGCCGAACGGAAACGTGAGAGGTCGGAGGCCAAGAAGGTCAAGCGAGCGGCCAAGGCGGCGCAGAACGAGGAAGCGAGAGTGCCAGTCGCGGTGAAGGAGGAGGAAAACGGCGAAGAAGAGGGGGCATCAGGGAAGGAGAAGGAGAAGCCCCGCAAAAAAAAGCAGAAGCGAGCTAAGAAGTGCGCATAGCCTCTTGCGATGTAGGATCTTACATTCCTGTCTGGTCCAAACCAAGGTTATCATTTTTACCCCAATTAGTGGGAATCATGTTCGGACAACATGGAGCACCGATCTCGAGAGCTCATAAGCATATGGTCGTACACGAACGTAGGGGGCGCTGAGTGCCGTTGTTCTAGGTGGAAATTGGCTTCGTCTTCATCGTCCTTCTGTAGATGAAGGACCCGAGCCTCGTTTTTAAGAAACAGGTTAACATTGCACGAACACCTGCATCGCGGCTGGTTTCGAACTCATTCCCGTCACGTGGGGGGGCCAACTGTGTGCCTGCTGCGGTCCAATCAGAATCAGAGCGGGCGACAGCGATGTTTTGGTTTCGAACCGTAGTAGCAAAGGAACAGCGCTGTCTGCTTGGCACGTTGGCGAAGGAACGGAACGAGATTCTGTAGAATCAGGGTGCTCCCTTCTCTGCTGACTAAGTTTCTTTCCTTCACGAAGGCCTAGTCTTCTGCGTTTGAGCAAGCCGAAACGGGGGTAGTGAATGTTTGGCCGCAGTGTCCACATCAACCGTGTCTACAGCAACACGAGTAAATAGGCCCCGCTGCTCACGCGTTGTTCACGATACGCACTCGAAACAAGGCGCCAAAACTTCTTGGTGCTGGCCGTGGACAAACGTGTAAAACACGATGGTCGTTGGTGTAGGTGTTTTGTATCGGGCGAGGCACAGGTCAACAATCCATCGCAGCGAAGAGGGGTTGATTCGCACAACGAGCGGCAGAAACCGAGGCAGAGAGAGAGAGAGAGAGAGGGAGAACGAGAGAGATGGAGGGAGGGAGGACAAAGCCTATTGAAAAATGAATCGGGGGCTACACACCTTCGTCCTGTCTCCTTGGAAGCATTGAACAAGGACAAACCTAAAACTTTTACTCTCCTTAATCTTCTGCGGAAAGACGAGAGGAGGATTCTGTTGGTTGTTTTCGACTGCCAGAGGCAACAACTGTTGCAAGTGGTACATCCTCGTTGAACACTTGCGAAAAATTTTGTCATTGTTGTTTGGGTGAGATGGAGACCTTGGGCAGTAGGAAGGTTGAAAACAAGCAGACCTCCCCGACCACCAGTTGACCGCCCACCCAGAGCGTGCAGGAAGTGAGACATCTACGAATACGTTGGCATTCGGCTGAAATCACAGTAGTTTCTTAGCCTGGGGCTCCTCGCAAAATACCATTACCACGGACAATTGAGCACCGTCGCTTGTGCTAGCTATATGCTCGTGGGAAGCGATTGTTCAATGGACGTGGTCTTTGTCACACTACGGACGCGATTTACATCTTTCAATTTTTTTACCTTGAAAACGGGCACACAACGCGGGTAGGAGCAGTGCAACATCCGACATTGCAACCATGCGACATCTTGCAACACGAGCTGAGGCTGGTTCTATTGTCCCTCTCGGTCCTTTTCCTGGTACTTGGTACACTGCACACCGCGTTCATGGTACGTCCTCATCATAATACGCCTTGCACATCCACTGCTTGATGAAATGCCTGCACTCCATGCGGGACTCCCGTCGTCCACCATCGGCATATTTACATCCCGCAAGAATCCCAAAAGAACATGCACCGAAAAATGTGCGCCCGCAGGCAGACCATCAACTACTCTTAATTCCAACAGGGTTCGTCCGGGACCGGTAAATTTTATGGCATCGGACACAAGCGGCAACCAAGCGCACTGGCTGTCACCGCTTCCCGTCCCGTTCCTGTTGTCGTTGCTTGAGATCGGCCAAGGCGTGGGTCTTGACTGCTTCCATTCGCTTCTTCAGTTGTGGGTCGTTGCTAACCAATCAGACAAAGCGTATAGCCGTGGTTCCGCAAAAGAAGCGAAGAGGAAGGAGGCAGAGGACGAAGGACAAGACGAAAAGAAAAACGAGGGAAACAGGAGGCGAAGAAGGTGGTTTCACCAAAAAAAAACTAGCAGCGCACGTGAGGCTACACATTCATCGCGTGGCTCTGGCTGCATGTCAACGAACTGTGACTGTGAATGGTACGGGAAAACTGAAAATACTGTAGGTGAGCAGGAACATCTGCGAGGTAGGTAGGCGGTACAGCAGCGCGGGATAAAGAGGGGGTCAGCGCGTGAAGTAAAACACCACTACTGCTGTACAGAGTAGTCAAGCTGGCTTACTCACCTGCCCGATTCGTGCACCAAGTAGTTTGACAATCCTCGTATTGCGCTGCCAGAATACAAGGCAGGGCAGACCGACGCACGAGCGCGCACAAGGGAGGATTGGATTGTCACCGACCGAAACCGCTTTGTCTGGTATTAGAAAATACGAAGGAAAGAAGTTGACAGCGCGAGGTACAACAATACGCGCAGATTCCCCCTGGACAGCACGTAAGTCCTGCACTAACCGCTGGACGAATAATTGCGACAGTTTTTTTATGCTCGGAGAACAGACAGCCCCATTCCTGGACGAATGCTATCACAGTGGCACATAAACCTCTGCTGTGAGCGGCTCAAGGTACGCTGATGACAATTAATCCCAAGCTACAGTGGGCGAACAACAGAAATGGTGTGGTACTCTCAACGACAAATCATGTTTCGTGCCTCACCCTCCCTTGAGCGCTTCTATCTTGACTGGGTCGGTCTCGCCCATGTTCTTCTTGAACTCGGTTCTCAGGATAAGACGAAGCTGCTGGCCCTTGGGGCTCTGAAATTCAAGCAAGCCCATGAGAAAGGGTTTACCATCATGCGCGAGAACGACATGTGGAGTGACAGCTAAAATATCTGTACGCACATCTGGAGGGATTGCAGCAACACACGACTACATGGAGTCTACATCTGTCGGTATTGCGACATCCGAATCGATGTCGATATGATGCAGTCTGGTACTTGATTCCTCGAGTTCAAAGTCAAACCAGAGGAGGGCAATTTGCAGGACAGGCGTTCGAAAGTAGGGGGTGATCGTTATCGCGTCACGACTCCACCACTTATGCCAACGTAGTGTATCAGAAGCTGAAATAACAGCGATCGCGTGATCAGCAGATCCGTAACAAAAGCGGGGCAATTATCAACCCAGCATCCAGAGGATTTCTTCCCCACTCACTGCTGTTGTTCTTGCCGTGGCACTGTCTCGAACACGTGTCCTACATGGACAACATATAGAGTAAGTGTGGGTATTAAGGACTTCTACATAATGGTACCACTTTTTTCAAAAAATCATATCTTGCCGATACCATCGCGGAAAGCCTTTCTGTTTTATTCTTCGTGTTGCTATGGACCTCACCTTTCATTTAAGCCAAAGTTTACTCAATTTGGTGGAGGACTTCGTTCTACACAGCATTCTGCGCCAGGTGATGCATGCTTCTTTTTTTTTGGTGCTGTGTGGTGGCTCCGGCTAAGCCAGGTCATAATATTGACCTATGTAATGGCGGTTTTCCGTGAATGCACAGGCCACTATGTGGTCTAGTCTTTTGCTCTCCATCGACCCAGTACGAGGCAGGTTCGAACCTTGGGTCGTGCATTTTGTTTTTTCATCCGCTTTTTTCTCCTTTATTTTCTATTTTGCCCCCTCCATTTTTGTCCAAATGGGGGCAAAAATCGCGTCTGTATGTCAGATCGAGACTAAATCTACCCGGATGACAACAAAAATTTGCATGGTGTCTATTCTAGGGGTGCTTGCCACGATGCCGAAGAAAAAACGGGCAAAAAACACTCGAAATCTCTTTGCGTGGTGCCCAAAGTAGGCCATTTTTGGCCCAAAAACAGGCAAAAAAACACGGGGATTCCTTGTTTTTGTCCCCGGGCATGCATGTTTTTCAAAATATTTTTTTCGGAAATGCTTTGTATTACTACCATAACGATACTCGCCAAAGAAAAAGTTCTGGAAATCATTAGAACGTGGCAATCACGACGAATTCGAAGTGGTCCTTCATCGGGGCATTTGTGCTCTACCGGTATTTTTCCCTGACAAATGAAGAATACTAAGCTGGCACCATGTCATCACCACATGCATTTTTTTTGTTTTCTGTTGTTTCATCGTTTAGGTCGTGTTATAAGCTAACGTTCGATACCTTTTTGTCGCCACAAAATCGTCAAGACACCCGAGAACGACCTCTCAGAGCGGGGGCTCCGTTAAGTGATCCTTAATCGACACATTTACTCTTTACGTATGTAAATCTAATTGCCAATGCCAGCCAGTCCCAATGATAAAGCAACGGGAGGGTGAAAAATGACCTAACAACAGTGTGTACCCGCACCTTCGAGGCGATGTGGTCGACCAGCCTCAAGCAGTCCCGGTAGAGCTGGGAGTACCATTTTCCGGAGGCGTTCGTAGCAGGGGACGTCGGTCATACAGCACGCATCACATACGGCGGAGAGACAGGGATACTATATCAGCAACAAAGAGCACGGCATACACTCACAGGATAATGCAACAGTCTAGCCATAAGAAGCTTTGAACAATCACCTTCTGTCTCTGCAGTATAGAGCGTGGCATTGGATTGTACAACAATGTTCCTTCTACAGGCGGCGTGATTCCTCTCGCTCTCCTCTCCCTCCTTCCGGTGTGGTGTTCTGTGCAATCGATGCCTGTGAACCAGTCAACTGATCAGGAAATCTTACCCGGGTTGACGAGCGCTCCATCGCCTGTGCTGGATTCATCGCTTTGGGTGTATACAAGCAGTCGGTGCCCGCGCGCCCGTGTGCACAACGTGACCAAGCAACACAGAGAGGAATTGCACCCGGAATTGCAGTGGGGGCCAAGACTTCGGGGGTAGGGGGGGGGTGCCGTATGGTGCGTGCTTGCGAGTTCCCTTAGCACCTTGGCAGCTCTGCTGAGAGGCTTTCCTGTTTCTCACGCAGCATACAGCACACCAACGCAACGACCATGTCGGATCGGGTGGACCTGACTGCAGACTCCGAAGACGATGAGCTCCAGGCTGCAATCAGAGAGTCACTATCCAGTCACTCAGGCAGCAGTGGTGCAACCTCCGCTGCTGGCAATAGTTTAAATTCAGACGGCGGCATGTCCCGGTCGAAAAGGCCAGCGTCGGAGCATAGCGACAACGAGACACCATCACAGCGCAATGGCAAGCGCCCGCGAAGCTTCCAGCCCTTCGAAAAACCACCGCTGTATCGTCTGCTTTCTACCTCTCCGAGTGATCGGGCGAGCACCGGCAGTGTAGGCCTGGATGATTTGCTCAGCGGCGACTTCGAAAGTGCCCTCCTTTGCAACTACATGGTCGACTACGCGCTGTTGGTCCGATCCGCGCCGAGACTTGGGAGTGTGCCGGTTACTATCGTGCACGGTTTCAAGCCCGGGACGTGAGTGCGATTGTGTGCAGCGTTGTCCGGTGTTGGAGGTCTACACGTGTGTTCGCGCGAAATGAAAAAGTCGTAGTCTCCTCTCTGGCGAATTCGCGCCATCGTATATGATCGCCCTCGCCTGTTTGTTGCATCCACAGCAGTAGACACCGCACCGCCTAAAGCCATTTCCCTGTAGCTTATTTGATCTACACCACAAGTAGTGGTGGAAACGAAATGCCGGCACGGGAGCCGCCTCGTTGAGAGAGTTGCGAGAAGGTAGCGTTCAGTTTGGAATGTAATACAGCAGTAGTTGAGCTTTGAACAATCGGGGCGGGGGGGGTACTTGCGCAACCAACGGTACTCGTTTGAAAGGCAATGGACGTTCAACTTGCCACAACTTCTGGTCCGTGCGTCCTCGATGAAGTGCCGTTACAGCGCACGCTACCGAATGGCTTCACGTATGGTCCATGTCGAGGTCTCATCCTTGCTCTCTCGTGATTTCACCCGCTCTTGACTCTCACAACCAAAAACACAGGCAAGATGAGATAAATCTTCGCAGCCAGTGCGCCGTCAACCCCGGCGTCAAGCTGCGCTACCCGGAGGTGAGTTTGCTGTGAGTGAGTGCGTTCTGCTCTGCTGGCCCACCAGCTGCTCTGCGGAAATAGGTCGTGATAATGCATTTTGATCCTCAAGTCTCTTAAGTGACGCGGGCACTCCGCAAAGCGTGGATCATTCGTCCCCCCCCCAGGCATACTACATGTAGTATCATTTTTTTTTGCGACACCGCATGGTCATGGTTGAGTTGGTCGCTGAATCAGTTCATGCACACAAGAACATTGTTTACGCACAGATTTGTTGCGACAAGGGTCATACAAAAGTTTGGTGCCGCTCGCTGAGCTGTGGCTTGGGAAGGGGAGAAAAATACGACGCACGCGCGCACCCGTGTACCCTGTTTGTAAAAAGTGAGCTCTAAATGCCACCCTATCCGGGCGCACCATACACAATCAAGGGACAGAAAAGGAGATACAGAGCCTCTCAAGTTTTGGAGGCCAGTAGCAGCACTCCCGAAGCAGCAGTCAGTATCCCCAAAAGCCCCAACGTATCCCGTATATTGTTATTGTGCTGTAAGCACCATGCCCAGCTGTCATCCATCCTCCTTGATTGTCCTGCCCCGCCACTCGCCGTCCTCCCTTTCTGCCCTCCCTCGCTGGCAGCTCCCAGAGTACGGCACCAACCACGCGAAGATGATCATCCTCAAGTTCTCGACGGGGATCCGTGTGGTTGTGCTGACCGCGAATTTCATTGTGGTGGACGTCACCGACAAGAGCCAGGGCGTGTGGTACCAGGACTTTCCGAAAAGGACGTCGGGATCATGCGCGTTCCAGGTGTGTTCTGACAGGCCGCCCGCCAACGCTACCGGTCGCATCTGGCGACGCCGCTGCGCGCCATTGCCCTGTCAAAATTCCCCGCTTTTTCTTTTGCTTGACTTGATACCACAATTTCGTTTCGCGTAGACTCTTTCTCGTTTGCCCCGCCCCTTACCATTGTCGCTCCCGCGCGACTGTTGATACTGCTGTCTTGACTTGAATATCCAACGGCACTGCAGGAGGACTTGATGGACTTTCTGTTCAAGGTCGGAGGGCCCGCGTCCGCGTTTGCAAGGTAGGGTGCGGTATTGATGGCCTGTTGTGGCTGATGCTGCTGCTTCTCCTGCTGTTGAAAAGCGGTTCATGTTCTTTTCTCGCTCTTTAGTTTATTCCAGTAGCGCCTGGCGTGCCTCTGCACATCTGTTACCATGTAGACCATCACGTTATTCGGTTGCCTGTTCTGAGCGCAACGTTTACGCTTGGGGGCGACGTTTTCGGACGATTTAGTCCCGTAATCGAGCGTTTTACTTGTCACGTCGCTTTGAATTGAATTATAGCATTGATCCCTTCGTATTCGCACGTTAATCTTAATCAAACCATCCACTGGGCCGTGTTATTTGGAGATGGTATCAAATTGGACTGACCGTCTCCGGCCACAACAGTGCACCCCTTCACCGCCGTTACTCAACGAACGTCCTCGCCATGAACGTGCATGTTATTTGAGGCCACGGCAGCCGCAGGACAAGCAGAGTCAAACTGGCCCGTGAGTAGATAGGCAGGGAATCTGGACAAAAACGTTCTAAACAGGACACAAACGCACCTCTCGTGGATGCAGATTTCCTTGGGCTTGCATGCACCATGCGTGTGCCTTGGTGAAGTCATGCTTGTTTATTTTTCGGAAGACACAACACGAGGTCCTTTCGAGGTTGGACAGGCGTACGGTTGGACAGGCGTACCCAGCCCGCGTCAAGGATCTGATCCCGATATAGCGAGTACAGCAGAAATCGTGTAGTCCCGATGGCATTTCACAAGGACGCGGACAGTCTTACGTTTCCAACAACACAATAACTGTCACAAACAAGATATCAACGTGTGTTCATCAACCCATATTCATGTCCATACCCATTTTCATTACCATGCCAATCAGTCCATGCGCATACCCATATTCGTGTCCATCATGTATCCATACCGGCACGCACATACCACTCATACCTGCCACAACCATGGTGTGAATTTTGTCATTCCCCATGAACAGCACTCTGGGCGAGTACGATTTCCGGGCTGCGAGGGTGGCACTGGTGCCTAGCGTGCCCGGTACCGGCGGGAACACTCCCGGCACCGGCGGGAAGCCTCACAAGGGGAAGGACCTACACAAGTACGGCCACATGCGGGTGCGGGCTTTGCTCTCTCGGGAGAAGGAGGACGGCACCGGGGCGAAGCTGAAGGAGGGCGGCCACAAGGTCCTCTGCCAGATCTCGTCCTTGGCCTCTCTCACCAAAACGCCGGTGAGGACAACCAGTAGTGTAGAGAGATGCGGGCTACCCCTCTTTGGCGGCCAGAGGTAATGGTGTGACGTGTGAAAAAATCGCCCTATTTTGTTGTTCCGCTCCCTGTTATATAGTCTCGCACCAACACGGCGTCAGGGAACGATTGCTGGCTTGTGCAGTTTGATCCCATGCCAAAGAAGCGCGTCTCTTATGAAGCACTGTGTGGAAGAGAAGGGATGCGGCCAAGAGCGAGCATTCACCCAGACAAGGGGATAGTATACCGTGAGTGTTTTATTTCATGGGATTCCACAATTTCTTGGCTAAAACGCACGCTGTATTGTGTGCCACGATTTATGACCGAAGATCCTATACTTGGTGAAGATGGGTTCCTATTATGGTCCCTCCCACAGTAATGGAATGTGTCATAAGAAGGGAAGCAAATATGCGAAATTCTTGCAGTTTGCTTTAGGAACCTTGGAGAAACCAGGATAATTGATATTTTGCCCAGATGCTCTAACGAACCCCCCGCTGTTGCTCCTGCTCCGCTTCCATTGGGTCCCGTCAAACATGATAAAATGAGCCACTAAGTGCAGCAACCGAGTACCCCTTTAACAATCTTCCAACTGCTGTGCCTGCTGTGTCTCAGAACCGATGGCTATCGGAAATTCTGACGTCGTTCATGCCACTGGAGGATGAGGGCAAGAAGGCAGAACCAACTAGACGGTCCATTTCTGAAGACGAGGCTCAGGCAGCCCTACTCGAGCAGCACTTGCGAGTGGTCTGGCCAAGTGTGGAGGCCGTTCGCACCTCATCGCAAGGTTGGATAGCGGGAGGGTAAGAGAATCGATCCCTGCCTTGGTCGTCATGTGTGACAACCCGTAACAACATGTTGGTGAAATTGAGAGCGAAGCATGAAATTGAGAGCGAGAGCCAAAAAAAATAAATTTCGGGTCCAGACGCCTCTTGCCATTTCTTGGGAAGTAGGGGGCGGGCTCTTCCAAGAAGCGGCGCAAATTGAAGGTCTCATCAGCAGCGTCACGAGCATATGCGTGTCATCGTCATCGGATGCTGCAGCTCGGAGATAGACAAGTTGCTAGATTTCCCCAGATTGGCTATTCCTGCCTCAAACTGTTGCAGGGCAGTTTGGCCTCGGGCGGTGGGCTCTGCTGTAGCTTCTGCTCGCCGCTGTAACTCCACATCGAGAGACTCCCACAGGTTGACCAGGGTATCTGCTTGTAGCTACGGGCTGGCCCTACAATTCAAGCTACACAGCAAGCTCCACCTCGCAGCAATAGTCCAGCTGCAGCGCATCGCGTAATCTCGTTCTCAATCAGATGCTTCGCTCTCAATTTCACCAATATGCTGTTCCGTCTGTTCTTTGCCCATACAAGGGTCGTGAGATGGGGAGTTTGTGGACTGACTACAAAAAGGGATCTGCACATACGAAGAGTTAGTTTGTTTTGTACACACGGGTCTACCCAGCACATTGTTTGGCGCTGCTGTCAGGATGTATGGTCTGTCCTCCCCTTACCGACCTTCCTCGTGTGGAGAGTCAAGGCAAGCAAGGCAATAAACCATGGCCGCGAGCTCGCACGCCCCTTTTTTGTTGGCAACGCGCATGCCGCACGCCTTGGAATCGGTGATGGTTAGTATGTTGTCGTTGTTGTTGTTGTTGTTGTCTTCACATCAAGTACCGTTCCGGTTTCTACCCAACATGTCTATACTAATCTACCGGTTGACGGGATAGTGGCGGCCTAGAAACACCCCCGAGAACAAGGTGTTTAGGATCGACAACTACGGCACGCCGACGGCATGGTGGAACTCCGAAGCAAGCCAAACCTCGGTCACAATCACACACCTCCTCTGACACCACCGACCGCCCTCTGGTGCCCGTCTCCATGGCAGATCCATCTGCTGCAACACCGTCAACATGTACGGGGGCAAGTACAAGTGGCCCAACATGAACAACTACAGGTCCAACACGCCGTTGCCCGAGCTCCGTCCGCTGCTGCGCAAGTGGATGGGAAATCCTGCGGTCAACCGCACCAGAGACGCTCCGCACATCAAGTCCTACCTGCGGTACCGGGAAGTCGCTGGGGAGAACGGTGAGGTCAAGTTTGGAGAGGTTAAGCGGGGAGGGGTCCGTGGCCTTTTCTTTTTTGGTGTTGAAGGCAACCAACGGCGCAACTACGCAAAGAAACTCCAACAGATGTTGCTGTTGCACTGTGCGGAAGAGGCTGAAATACTTGTGTGCTACCATGCTACAGGAGTCCCGACCGCAAATGCCGTCTACTCTACACCACTTAGTGCAACTGCGTTGGACCACAAAAACGACACGTCTTCACAAGAGACAAACCTAAAGCGTTTTGTCTCCTTTATCTTCTACAGAAAGACGAGAGGAGAGAGGATTCTGTTGGTTGTTCTCGACGGCGGGAGGCAGCAACTATTGCAAGTGGTATCCTCGTTGAACACTTGCGAGGAAGTTTTGTCGTTTTTGTTCGAGTGACCTTGGGCAGCGGTAAGGTTAGAAGCAAGCACAGCCCCCCCCCCCGACCGCCGGTTGACCGCCCACCCATAGCGTGCAGGAAACGAGACATGTACGAATCTCGAAGCCATGCACACATCAGATGAAGGTCGTTCTTTCGACTCCGAGTCTGCTGGTGCCATTTTGCGCAGCATCCTGGTTGCCCTGAACGCCCTTGGCTTGACTTCATATCGTTGTCGTGTGGCATCAGGGGCAGAGACACGGGTGGACGGGGACGAAGTGGCGTGGTTCTTGCTCACCAGCAGCAACCTCAGCCGATCGGCGTGGGGTTACCTCAACAAGGTGAGGTTTCCTCAGTAAGGATGTGAGGGTCTCGGTAGGACCGGGTCACCTCCACAAGGATGGGGTTGCCTCAATAAGGTGAGGGGCCTCAATAAGGAAGGGGTTGCCTCAGTATCACCGGGTTACCTCAATAAGGATGGGGTTGCCTCACGAAGGGTGGAGTTGCATCAATATGGATGGGATTGCCTCGGCCATGAGTAGGGTGCTGATCTTGGTGAGCCCAGGGGAGATTTGTACGCCCTTGGGTCGACAAGAGGCTCGGGAGCACCAACATCGGGGACGGTTTGAAGATCAGATCGAGCTTGGTGGAGGGAGGAGACTCATATAATTGTATCGTCGCGGGGTTCTCGCTTTCGCGGACATCGCCGACGATAAAACAATCACGCTGGTAGAACGCACGTTCAGTGCGACACAAGATCAATGCTGTGCCGCCTGAGCAATATGCCCAGCGTAAGACGTGAACTGAGTGTACCTATGCACATGTTGTTCTTCTCTACCATCGGCCCTAAATCACCCCGCCTTCCCATGGGCCGGCGAAAACCCGGCATATCGCTCCGTCCGGCCATTTAGGGATGCGAAGTCGTTGTTTAAACGACGACCGCAAGTGTTTACACGAGTATTCCCCCCCCCTTCTGGCAGGCGTCGACAGTCCTTACCGTCAGATCTTTCGAGATGGGGGTTATGTTTCTCCCAAGTCTGTTGCGGGGCCCCTCGCAAGATGCCGACGATGGCAACGATGCCGCCAACGCCTCGGGCTTCACATGCACGCCAGGAGAGATGGGGCTCACGCAACGGTTCCCGCTGAGCCTTGGGTACGACTGCGAAGCCGGCAAGGGACTTCCGCTTTCGCGGCTGCCTCTGCCGTACGTATTGCCGGGTAAGTTCTTGACCTGACAGGGACGTTTCGACGGGATTAACGTGTTTGCATGAGACTCCGCTATTGTATATCCCATTCAAGCCGCATGGCGGTTTTGAAGTCGATTGTGGGTCCCTGATTTGTCGCGAACGGGTAGGACCGAGATCCTGTGTTATCCTGTTGCCGTCACCAGCGGTTACGCGCTGTGTCATTGGTTGGACGGGGGTGGATGTCATGAAGATTTCGTTCGAGGTGCATTCGAAGCGATGTCTACCCCCCCCCCCCCCCCCCCCCNCATGAGACAGAGAGGGTGTGACATGGACAAGTTTGGTAAATTAGACAACAGCGAAAAAACGATCGCGGTAATTGGGGATAGATGGTGGGTACAAGAGGCCGTAGAGGACGGGGAAAAGATGTGGAAGAAATTTTTATGTAGTTTGTGGCAGAAACGTAAAGAGCTCCCAAATGTTGGTGGTGTCTCTAGTAGGGGTAGGAACGGTGCTCCGTCTCGAAAGGGACGCGTGGTCAATGGTCAAATGACTACGGCAAGCAACAAATGAGTACGCCCCCCCCCGCCCCCCAGCTTGCAACTTGCACTAAAATCGACTTGCCAGCGCCATCCCTAAGATTTTTTTCGAAGTAGATAATAGACGCTTTATTGTCGGCGGTGTTGATGTGTTGTGTTGATGCAGAGAGCCATCGCTGTTGGAGCAGTCTTTTCACTCTGTAGTCTCGAGTAGACCGTGCGAAGCGGAATGTTTTAGGAAAAAAATATTCCATCCCGAACACGTAGTTTTTAGTATATGATACAACCTGCGCGCCACCCCCTCTCCTCTTTTTCACCTTCGCGTTCCTCTGCACAACGTTTATTTTTTGTTCCCTCTCTTTTCATTGCCTGCGACTGCTCCATTCATTCACCGCCTGGCAGCCCCACGGTACGACTTCGACAAAAGCCAAGACGCTAACGAGCGTCCTTGGGTGTGGGACCAGGACCAAAGCCCGTCTTCTCTGGACCGCAACGGGGAGGCGTGGCAGGCCATTCCTCTTTTTTGAGACATTTTTGAGATGATACTGCTGACTGTAGCCTTTGACCGAAGAACAGACGTTTGGAGGACCCAACTTTGCTCAAAACAAGTTCTGCCTGTCTGCATGGGCGTGTTGTCTAGTGGTGTCAGCGGTGCAGTGCTGGATGTTTTCAGGGTTGTCGGGGGGCAATAAAATAGACTAAACCATATCAGTTCACGTCGATATGCCGCATTAGACTTTTCTCATTTCTGCAGGAGCTCCGCCGCACGGAACGAACGGCCTGCCGGCGGGTGGGTCGTTCTTGTTCTTGCTTTCTTTCGAAGCACACATTCGAAGCGACGGAGCCGTCTGTCCAGCGCGTGAGTACCGTTGTGACACATGAGGCGAAGCCCCTCTAATCTAGGCACTGTAGACAGATCGAGTACGGACGTCTCGTCATTGCAGTGGTCAGTGCCAGACACAAGGAAGAGAAGCTTTTGTTGGGTAGGGTAGGGTGGGGGATATCCTCCATTTGAGTATACGGGCGATGGGCAAACGACAAACACGGCCAGTCCAAATATTGGATGAAAAAAAAACTTATGTTGATGAGGGAGACTACCGCATCCGGAATGTTGAACTGCAAACAAACGCATGTGCTTAAAAACAAATCATGAGCAGATACACAGACAGACACTGGTCGAAAAATTAAGCCGCTGCAGTTCTCAACAGGACACAAACACACGCACAGGCACACGCACACGCACAGAGACACCTCTTCCTGGAGACCAAAATTGCGTTCGATGTCACTCACAACGCACGTCGACAAACACGACGGGATAACCATCGAACTCTACAATGCGGCTGAAACACCTACCGGTATTATGTATTTCCTTCCGAACCACACAGTATATCCTACCGACATGTAAACGTCATCGCGCCACAGCTCGCAACGTGTCGTTGAAAATTTACGCACCAACGCCTACCAACATGCAAGGTTTCGCAGAGTTCATAACTCGTAGAATGAAAAAAATGCACTTCTTCGGTTCTAGGGCTCGACTTGACCCCTCAACACGTAACCACCCCTCTCCCCCCGGGCGCCTTCAGAGAAGGCCATAAACTACAGGAGCTCATCAAATGTTCACACGGTGATCGCTGACGTCGTCCTCGGCATGACTCCCATCGGCGGTGTCCGCATCTTGAACGGCCGCCGTCTCGCCGGCCGACGTGCTGCCGCCGCCGTCAGCACTACCACTTCCCTCGTGAGAGAACAGGACGGTTTCGCCGTGCTCCTCGTCTTCCACCCATGGCCCCGCCTCTGCCTTGACTCCCCAAAACTCCGCCTCGTCCTTCGCCCTCCGCCCGGCATCATCCGCTCCCGCGTCTCCGACCTTTCCCTCCGAGGAGGACGAGATTCCGTCCGCCTTGACCTTGGACACCACCTCGTACGGGATCACGGGGAGAGAGGAAGCGGTCGCGGCGACCGCCTGGGAGAGCTCGTGCTCTTCCGCTCGCTTGGCAGCGGCGATCGCGGCAGCCTGAGCCTCGGCGGCTTCTTCCTGCTCGAGCCTCAGAGCCACCCTCGCCGCCTCCCCCAGGTCGCCCTCGAGCTGGGCTTGCTTCTCGAGGAGGTCGGACGCCGTCAGTGCCGTGGGCAGGGCCGGCGTAGGAATAGCTTCCCCTGCCGCTGCAGCCGCCGCTGCTGCTACTGCTGCCGGCGGTGTTGCTGTTGGTGTTGGTGTCTCGGGTAGCGTCTCGAAAACCCAGCTGAACGGGTGCCTATGGGCGGGGGAATAACAGCGCCGGATTTTTTTTTTTAATCGGTCATGTTTATGGTTGAAATGTGGGTGAGTGTGGCGTGCAGTGGGAGCACTCTCGGCCGTAAAACACGACCCGTACGCGCAACGTGCCCGTAGCTGTATGGGCCTCAAAGCCTGCACAGACATGACTCTTTTCAGCCGAAATACAAAACTGCGAACTCCGCCTTTTGAAGGCCTCAACAAACGAACGACCTTCATGAACCACCGTACAAGTAAACGCGCGCCCTCCTTCCCCTCCACTGCTAGGTGTTGCCAACAGCTACTACAAAACTAGGTTCCCGCCCGTCTCTCCACTAATAGTCCCTTTGGGGGCGACCGACCCTGAGAAAGAAACACGGGAATTTCAGTACTGCTTCGACGACACTCACGGTTGAAACTCCCTGGTGAGGTCGAGCTTGTCCACTTCCATGATGCCCGCCGTTTCTCTGGGCTTAAGGAGCAGCTTCACATTGCGCCCGGCCGGGACGTGGTAGTTGGGGCGGCGGGAAGGGTAAACTGTGTCCAGCCGTGACGGCGTGGGTTCAATCTCAAAGGCGAAAGTCACGCTGTCCATCCGGTGGTTTGTTACCTTCGCGAGTGCGAGGGGGGGAGAGGAAAGGGGAGGGGGAGGGATTACTCGGCACCCACGCTGGAAGGACATACGGCCTTGAACGACATACCTGCACCCAACACAAAAAAACAACTCAACTAGGCCATACTAAACGCTCGCCTCTCCTCTCTCGATGCTTGAATGGACCCAAACGTGGAATGAAAACATATGCGGTGTGACATGACCCTCGTTATTGATAATCATAAGCGCTTACCCTCCAGAAACGCTTGAGGGGAATTCCTCCCGCCATCGTCAGGTGCCCTCCGCCACCAGCGCCGGGCATCATCATGGCCGTGTCTGTCGCGTCTAGCATCTCCACCTAGGGTAACAAGCGACCATCATCAAGGACAAGCATTGACCAATAGTCAGCGCAAACGTACACGCAGCGCACCAACTTGGGCATCGCAACAGGGAATATCATACGCATGGGGGGAGGGAGCCAACGCAGAACGAAGATAACATGGTAACCTCACGAAAATCAGATATTGAAGGAACGGTGCCGACCCCACCCCCCTTGATACTCGTATTTTTCCACACAACTCTCAAGCCCTTACGACATGTTTCATAATTGTGTGTAATCCGAGCTTCCAAAGGCAATGGGTCAGGATACAACATGAGGATCGCTTGGCATCGTACATCCCCTCTCCCCATGTCCTTCGCATTTATCTACGGAAACCAACCAACTGGACAGGCAGAACGAGTTCCCTGGAGACCATCACCAGCAAGTGCGTGCTCGCGGCGATTTGGACATACAACATAATCATCATCATCGCGCGCCTCTCAAACCCTACCAAAACTATGTTGCTTTCGCTGGCTGATCCTCTGAATGCCGTTCAAGCAGTGCTGTTGAGTTAAACTACTTTTTTTCTTGGCTGTCCCGGTGCTCACCTGGACGCCGTTGCTTGTGGAGCTCTCCACCCGAGTAACACCCGGTTCTCCCTCGGCAGGGCCGATCCTGGCCCTCCTGGTCATGTCAAGCAAACGCTCCTCCGCCGTGTGGCCAAAGTAGGCCTTCTCGTACGCGCTGGCCAAAAAAATATATACACACGCACACACAACACACACGCGCGATTCATTGGTCATTGGTCATTGGTCATTGGTCATTGGTCATTGGTCAGCCGGGTAGCGCGGTCGATGCTAACATACACACGCACCATGTATGCATGTACCGTTGGGGTGTTGCATAGCTGACGAATGATTCCGACATCATCGCTTGCAAGGTACAGTATCATCCATGCAGCGTTGGCAAGCTTAACGCTAACGTTGTGAGGCGATCCGCTGTTGGGATGTCGGTACACGTTGACTTTCATCTTCACACCCCGTGTCAACGTGATTTCTATCGGACGGGGTGCCTCTGGATGTCCATCGACATTGTTTTTTCTTTTTTCTCTCCCATCATCGGATTCTGTCGTCTGCCCCTCTGGCCCCTATCTTCCACTTCTACTAGCTAGACGGTCCAACCGGGGTCACACAGGAGGGGGGAGCTGGACCCCCTCCTGCGGTTCCTGCCTGAGGTATTTTTATCGCGACAAGGGTACAACAATCCCTTCCCTCGCGACTTACGAAGTCGATTATGGTTTACTAGCAACGAGCTTTGCAACGCGTCGCTTTCATCCTAGACCAGGATGTATTTAGTGAGAAAAAACTCACTCTGCCGGGACTCGAACCCATGACCTGGCCCTTAGCAGGCTGCGAGGTTACACACTAGACCACTGGGGCGACCGGTTACATCGACATGTGCATGCACCGATAGCTCGATGGAAACAACCTGAACCTCACCATAAAAAAAACGCGTCGTTTCGCCCTACACATGTGGGGTGGGTCGGGGAGAAAAGCTTCCAATAAAAAGGAGAGACACATCAGCAAGACAAAACGAACTCATTCTCTCGCCCAAGACGCAGCAAAACTCAACGGGAACCATTTAATACACACGAACAATCCCAAAAAACAAGCTGTAATTGAGCTATCAAACGCATAGACTCGGACAAGAGAGGCTGTGACATAGCTCCGCATGCGAGCAACCGTATCAACGAGAAGCAGGCACGCAAAACACGCAATTCAACACCCCCCAACAAACGACGGACAGATGAAAAATTGCTGTGTGGGGCGCGACAGCATATTTGTTTATCTTTGCTTGCCCCGGGAAATCAGCAACAGGTCCACCATGCAGGGTAGACTTCTACATATTCACCTGAGGTTTTCCTTGATCTGGATCAAATCCATCTCTTTCACCCTAAGAGGTCCAACACAGCCTCGCCCAGAGCCGTATGTGTCGATCAGGTGCTTGGTCATCCAGTCCGCCCAGGGAAGCATGTCATGGCTGCGAAGCTTGCTAACATATGCCCCAATGCCAGCATTTTCGGCCTGGGTATACAACACATCGGAATGTTAGTCCGGCCGACGTGAGTGGTGGTGCCAACGACCACATTGGGCGGGGGCACAGCAGCAGGGAAGGAGTATGTGTGTGGGGGGGGGGGTTCGGATGCTGGGACTTTCGCGCTTGTGGTGTACCGTGAAACACGTCAGGACCAAGTTCGGTTGCATGGCGATTCAACTCGAACACCGTCAGTGGCAGTACAGCAGAGAGAGGCGCAAGCGCAAGCAGGTACATGCAGAAGAAGGCCAGCACAGCAGAAGCAGAGGAAAACGCACACAAGAATTCTCGTACATACACTTCGATGGCGACGCGATAACACGATAACACCGCTCTTTTACCCGGCACGCTACGATTACAGTACGTCGTGAGGAGGGTGTAGCTGATCGCTTGTCTCACCATCAACTCTGAGACGACCATCAGCACGCGGAAGAGCCACTTGTCGTACTTTTCCTGCTGCAACATCATCAGCAGGAGGAGCTTCGGCTCCACCTCTTGCTTGCCCGTGCCCAGCACCATCTGATACCGCTCCACCTAAAGATAACGAGGCCATGACAACACTTAAAACGCGGACAGTTTCGAAACAAACAATACATGATAACTTCATGTGCGCTGGGTCTACGGCGGTGTCCACCGATAAATCACCATTCCGTTTTTTTCAACCAAAAAGACCACGCCTCTCTCGCCTACAAGTATCAGCCAGTAGTCAAGATCGCCCTAAATATAATGACACACAAACTAGTCTCGGAAGGTCTGCGAGGAGCGGAGAGCAGCACGCTGCTTTGAAAAATCGGCCGCTCTAACCCGACAAACCTAGAAAACCGTTCTGAAGGAGGACACAACTCCATGGTCAGTGAAGTGCAAGCCATGTCCGCCGTCAAATCCATCACAACGTTTAGCATGTATCGTGTAATAGGATGGTACACTACTCGGGGACTGCACCTACTGATATTGATAGTACTAATATTTGCAGTGCACCCATCACATATGTGTACCTTGAGGGTATCGTCCACCTCGAGCCAAGCCCGGAGGGCGAGCAGCCAGCTGTCGACATCGGCGAAGGGTGTGCTGTCGACCCCTTGGACGATGAGTCGGGAGAGCGGTCGCAGCAGCTTAGAGGCGTCGGCCGCCCACGCGCACATGAGCTCGGCCGCCGCCTCCGGTGCGTGGTGTTCCTCGAAAGCCTATCACAGTAGTTGGTTGGCGAGAAGGTGAGGTACAAAACACGTGGTACGACGTCATCCACGAGGCGCCAACGACGGGCAAGCTTCGGCCGCACACAACGGAGGACATGCTGCGGCACGGTATTTTAGTTGTTGTACGACGAACGTGATTCGGTACGGTAGTTGTATCATGCGACGAACACAAAGACGATGACCCTCGAAACGTCTGGGTCTGTCACGGTAGCGTACGCTGTTCGGTGCAGCAGGATACAGACAACGACTGCAAAACGCAGCGGACAATCCCCGCACGCTCCTCACCAGATCGTACAGCGTCTCACAGTTCAGGCACCGTCGGCAGCCCGGAGACAAGGCCACGCTCCTCGACCGCTCTTTCGCGGTCACCCTGCTGCCCCGCACCCCAACAACCTCCGCATCGCCCCTCCCCGCCCTGGCATCGCCCCCCTCCTCTGCAGCTGCAGCAGGATAAGACGAGCCGGACGTGGCCTCTAGAGTCTCGCGGTCTATCGGAGCCAATGATGCCGTCAGGGGCAACGGTAAGGGCCCGCCCTCCTCGTTTATAGCGTCGGCACCGCTGTCTGGGAAGGCCGCCACGGGCCCCACCGGCATCGACTTGACCGCTCTCATACTGCTTGCGCTTTAAAGCGGGGCGGGGGGGGGGGCGAGCGACGCGTTCGTTCATAGGTGCTTGCAAGCTTACTTTGGTATGTAAGCAAGACAACAAGGTTAGCAATGTTAGCATCATGTGAACGCAGCGGCACGCCGCCGCCACTGCTTTGGTACCGAGTCTTCCACTGATGCCACTGATGAGCGTAACCGTCAAGAAGATAAAACAGACTGCTGCTGTTCCCAAGACCCTCTCCGTCGACACCCCTAAAGGAACAAAGACCTTGCACGCGTGTCTGTCATATTCTGTCAATGTTAACAAACATCTTGAACAAACATCACTGCCGTCGCCAAAACTTGAAACATGACACCCCGCGACAGTCTCAACTCCAACCCTGAGTTTTGCTTTCGGACAAAGATGTGCGGGGACTGGCGTTATTTCTTTGGGAATTTCAAAATAGTTTCTGCGCCGCCTAGGCTGCACCTAGAAATGAAAACAGACATACCCATACCTGTCATCACTGCGGGACCCCTCGCTATCAGACACAGTGTCCGTGTCCGATTCCACCTGCACCGATCCCCTCGGCTGCCACCGAGAAGTCTCGCCAGAGTGGGCGCGCAGCGACCTCAAGCAGCGCACCAGCGGCGAGAAGCGTGGCGGCGCTGTCTTGTGGCCCATCCTCGGCAGTCGCTTGTGAGGGTCGTACATCGGGCTCTTCTCCTGGGTGTGGCGGGACGAGTTCAGGGGGGCAGTGCTCGTCGATGAGCGGAGGCACTTCTTCTGCTTCTTCCACGTTATGGTAAGGTTTATGTATGCATTCGTGACGCAAACCCAGCCCTACGACACATGAAGCCGGTGTCTGTGCGTCCATGGCGGCACGACGTGAACAGATGAGGAAAGCACCAGCTCAGGAGCAGGTGTGTATCGTTCCGCAAATAGAAATCATCTACCTCTGACTGGGTACGCTAGAGCTACCCCAGCGGAAAAGTCACCCCTCAGCGGAGTTGGCACGGTGCCGCAAGCACCTCCTCCCTCTCTAACGTGGACAACTCAAGAGTCACACCCACACCCACCTGCAAGAAGAATGAGCCCAGCCGGCACACCATCTGCCTGTTGAGCAGCAGATCCCTCTCTCTGTCCCCCATGTTGCCGACGCCCTCGATCACCTCCAAGAACTGCTCGAACCGCCCCCAAGATCTGGCCGCGTCGGGCAGAAGACTGACCCAGCCGGCCACCACCCTTCCCAGTCGCGTGCTCGACCGTCCTCTCTCCTCCTCCATCTCCTCTTGGAGCTGCACCTGGTCCCCTGCTGCAGGCCACAGGGCGTTCTCCGTCCCCTCTTCCAGAGCACAAGCGGTGCCGCTCGATGTCGGCGTGGCGGTGGGAGTTCCGGCGACTGCGGTGGTAGTGCCGCCCCCCTCCTCGGTGGTGGGGGATTGGTCGGCTAACAAGGAGGGGTCGAGCTGCTGCTGCGATGGCGAGGGGTCGTCGTAGTCAAGATATCTGATGGAACAGAGGTAGACGGTGAGGGGGAGAGGGAGCGGGGTAGAGAGGTAGAGAGAGAGACGCAGGCCAACGACGGGGGGTAATTTCTGTCAAGGACTCGTGGTCTTCAAAACAATGCAGTCATCGACATTCCCGCGGCAAGTGCACCGCATTCCGCCGCGTGCTATTGACATAATTCCACGACAGAACAAGCGAACCCTTACTAAAACCGCCAAGCTTCATCGCTTTCACCCAACCGGTAAAAACTCAATCGTATGGTTCAACTTGCAGCCCAGACGTTTCCGCGAATCGAGTTGCTACAGATGCAAACATTGTCAAAAAAGTTACTCCCGCACCTGTCCCCCTCCGCCTCCGCTAGAATGCCGAGCAGGTGGAGGTAGAAAGATCGCATCGCCACCCGCACGGAGCGGTCGGGGCACAGTAGAAGCATCTCCCGCATCCCCTGCATACCCCCTTCCGTCTCCGCGTCGAGGAATGCCCCCGCGGCTTCAGGCCTTAAGTCGTACAGCCCCTGGACAGGAAGAGGAGAGGGAGCATCGCCACAAAAAAAGTGACGGAAGCGGCAGAGTTGGGCCAAGTCGTCTTGTGCCAATGGGAAGGGATTCTTCCATACACCTCCAGAAAAGAGTAAGTAGTACCAACATCCTTATCGGTGGTACACTCTCGTCCGATTCAATCAAAAACGGCAACCTAACACGAGGTATCAAAACAAACAGCGTGGATCAAAGCTGCGGAGGCGCGACACACAGACGTCGGGAGGCCACCGCGTCAGCACACAGCAACGCCACAACAGCAGAGTTGCGGCAAGCCAAGAGAGCTAGCTGCCCTCATACGACAGTACCCCCTGTTGACTCGACTCGACTCGACTCGACTCGCCTGCAACTCCTCCACCAACGGAGCAAAGGCATCGTTGTCGAGCGCGCGCGCCAGGTTGTCGAGAAGGTACCGCACTCCCCACTCCAAGAACCCCTCCACTAGATCTACTGCTACACCCTCCGACAACGGCGGAACCGCTCTCGGAAATTTCGCTTCAAGCGCGCCAGCAGGCGTGTCTGCGAGACAACCCGGGGATGGCTTTGTTCTGTCCCCGGTGGTGGCGGGAGAGGCCGAGGCAACCTGTCGAACAGCCTTGATGATATCCAACACGAAGTTAGACATGTCTGGGTGGTACAGCTGCCTGTCGAGAAGGAACCTGGTGAGTACGACCGTCAAGGGAGGCAGTCGGCGGGGGATGTCGCGAAATTTCCGTCCGTCATGAGGCCGGGTACAACCCACGTCCGAAATTCAACTCGCAATAAAACAATAATGATTGGTTCTGTTGCGAGTCACCGGTCTGTCCCCGAAGATCGCGCTCATACTCGAGAAGAGCGTCATGACCAACTGTTCCTCTGCACTGTTTGAAGGATCATTCCCGGTGCGCACGCATGCGTACGCATATGTGTGCGTGTTCCGCGATACGCCGTCCACTGGACGTCTTCAACACATGTCTATCGCAGCGACCGCCAGCTGCGATGACAGTTGTCTCACGCTACGTCAGCGTGCCAGCTCAGCGTGGCGTGTGCCTACGGCGTGTGCACACTCTGCGTCAGACTGATTCTGCGTCAGCGCTCAATAGCTGTGCTGTGCACAGTCCCCCTCGCCCCTCGTCTGTTGCTGCCATCTTCATTTCTGTCTCCAGAGATCCATCGCCTGTTCCTAGAGAACTGTCCTGTCCCGTGATACCTCACGGTCTCCACCACTGCACCGGAGAGACCACCTGTGCTCTAGACGGCTGAGGAATCAACACCCTCCTGTGGTTGAGGTACTTGGAAAAGTATAACTTAAGTGAACTCTTGAGTTTATGACCAAAGTCAGCACTTGAAATTGAGCTCTGCCGGAAACACAGAAATGCCTGTTGTTTCGGTCTTCGACCAATCAGAGCTCGCGTATTACTATTCTTCGAATATCGCACACAAGAGCCTACCCACACACACGCTATGAAACAAGAGCCCCCCCCCCGCTCCAGGTGTTCATCAACGATCTGTTGGAAGTCGTAGAGGCAGTCCGGAAGGGAGTAAAAGTAGGGGACACGGAAGCGTCGGTTTCAGGAATGCTGTTTGCAGATGATTTTGTCGGTATGTCGGACACCCCTGAGGGACTGCAACTGCAAATTGACGCGGCGAAGAAGTTTACTGATAAGTGGAGATTGTC